TTTTCTGCTTGGAGCTGGGCATCAATCTCCTCAGGACTCGTGTACTGCCTTGCTCGGCCTTTGTGGCCTCCTTTTCTACCTGCACGAAACAATAAAAACAACAAATGGTTTAGTGGTAACTTCCAGAAAGGTCTGCTCCTCCTGCAGCACTCTGGATTTTAGTGTGGATAGCACAAACCAAAATAGCTCCTCTGACAGACCGAAACAAAACCCCCATTGAACTTGGTGAAATGCTCCAAGAATTTTAGGTGAGACACACAGAGAATTGGGACTATTGATATTACCCTTCCCTGCCTGTGCTCATGGCCTCTCCAATTCCCTTCCCAGGCTGGCAAGGGATGCTCAGTCCTACAGCAAATCCCAGTTTCCTGCACAGGAGGAATCACAGTATGTTCCTGTGGTCACAACCAACATTCCAACAAGCTTGGCTCCTTAACCTCTCCTACTGTGCCAGGAAAAAATAGGAAGGTAATTGGACAAAAGCTTTGGGAATTCCTATGAGAGCTGAAGAAGTCCTGAAAGGAGCCTCCAGTTTTACTGCTTTATGAGGAAAAATAAAAACAAGCTCTAGGAACCAAGAAGGGGAGTCACTGTGGCCCAAGTGCCAAATTCTGTTGATAAATGGACTGCTGAAGCCATTAATGCTCCCCTCAAGCCACTGCTCTGGTTATGTTCTTCCAGCCCAAAGAACTGGGAAGCAAGTTGGACAGAGCCACCCCACAGCCCTGAGTGAGGGAGAGTGGCAAAAAGCAAACAACTCTGGCCAGGCAGCTCTCTGCCACTGCAGCAGTCCTGAAGTGCCATGGAAGGAGCAGGAAACACTGGATCTCTCTCCTCCTCCCCACTTCACCTGCCTTCACAAGGACAATGGGATGGGGAGGGGTGAGGGATGATCCCTTCCTCCCTGGCACTGTGTGGGATCCATGGGAGATGTGCCACTGCTCTCTCACTGTCTTGCTGTTGGACTGGGAGGCACTGGGAGGCTCAGGGATCCAACATTTTCTGACCAATTCTCCTGGCTCAGCACAGACAAACTCTCACAGTGCCATAGTTCTGTCCCAAAACCTCACTGTGAAGCTTTACAGAAATTCCTCAGATATTTTTCCAAAAGAAATGGGGAAGTGCAGAGACCAAATTCTTCTCTCTGGATTCAGCTGGGGAAGCTCACAGGCTCTCAAACCCCAAGCACAACCAGAAGCTTTGGTGCAGCCTGACAGGTGCTTTGTTTGTCTGTTCCCAGCCATCCCAGGTGGGAACAATGACAGCCTCTGGAAGGAGATCTGCCATGGGAATGCTCCTGGGAAGACACAACCTCACTGCCCAGCACATGGCATCACCCCAAATGGAACAACAGTGACATCTGTGACACACCAACCCCCAAATAACCAAACTGTGCTCCCAGCCTGGCCAGGGCTCCTCACCCAGCTGTGCCAGAATTCCACACTGGGCTCAGGACCAAGGAACACAAACTGCTCATTACTGCAAACAAACACTGGTGATAAGGGGGAAAAGCAACTGAAGAGAAATCATTTTACGGTAAAAGCCTAAAAAGAAGCAAATGGAAGAGTGAAGCCCACGGGAGCTCAGCACAGTGCAGGGATGGGGCTCTGCTCCCACAGGGAGATGAAACCTCACATCAGACATGGGGAGCTGGTCCAACACCTGCTACTGACCAGCTCTGTGCCTCAGTTTCCCCGTATGAAAACATGGACAACCCTTCTTTTCCACCTTGTGAAACACTTTTAAAGTAGAATCACCTGCAGATTTCACCTGCAGCAAAGCCCAGTGGTGCCCAGGCAGGCCCACGTTCAAACACATTTGTCTTCAGCTTTAAACAGTCTAATTAAGGAATTTAGATGAAAGAGAATGGAATGATACTGATGAAAGCTCTTCTTTTTAAAATCAAAGTATTAGGGAAAAAAAAGAGAATAATCTGAAATAATCCTGTAAAAATTTATTAGTAGCTTGTTTATACCCCTCCCTTTTATATTAAACATTGAGTGCCAAAATGCGCTCTTCTGCCACCAACCCAACCACTCCCACTGACTTGGGGGAAAATGACCAAAGATCCCTCTTCTTCCACAAAGCAAAAGGTTCGAATCAAACACTGAAATCTGTACAATGAAATAAAGAACAGGAAATCCTGAGTTACAGGCATTTAAATATGAAAAATGGGGTTATAATCCGCCACGGTTCTTTGCCTTCACAAAAACCATGTGAAAGCTTCAGCCCCATCTCCTATCACTGCACAAATGGACCCAAAAAGAAGTGGTTCAATAAAATCTAACCAAGGAATCAGTTTAGTGTAAAGGCTGGGAAAAGCTGATGAAATAAAGCAAACTGCAGGCAAAGAGGAATGAGGCGGGCTGGCTTTTAACGCGTGTGACCGGCGTTTGCAAGAGCCAATTATGCAGATGGTGCATGTGGAGAAGGTTCTGGGTGGATCCCGCCGAGCCGTGACAGCCCGGCCGTGCCTCATCCCCGCTCCTGAATCACACCGGGAGCAAGTCCCTGCCCGCTCCGCAACACCCAAACCGCGGCGCTCCGGAGCCACATCAAAGCACCGCGTTTGGAGCCCCTGAGCCCCCGGGGGCGGGATGGCCACCACCCCCGGTGTCCCGGTGGGGTGCCCACCTGCCCGGTGGGGCTGTGCCCGCCTGCCCGATACCCCGGTGGAGCTGTGCCCACCTGCCCGGTGGGGCTGTGCCCGCCTCCCAGGTGCTCCGGTGGAGCTGTGCCCGCCTGCCCGATATCCCGGTGGGGCTGTGCCCACCTGCCCGGTGGGGCTGTGCCCACCTGCCCGATATCCCGGCGGGGCTGTGCCCACCTCCCCGGTGGGGCTGTGCCCGCCTGCCCGGTACCCCGGTGGAGCTGTGCCCACCTGCCCGATATCCCGGCGGGGCTGTGCCCACCTGCCCGGTGGGGCTGTGCCCACCTGCCCGATATCCCGGCGGGGCTGTGCCCACCTCCCCGGTGGGGCTGTGCCCACCTGCCCGGTGGAGCTGTGCCCACCTGCCCGGTGGGGCTGTGCCCACCTGCCCGGTGGAGCTGTGCCCGCCTCCCCGGTGGGGCTGTGCCCACCTGCCCGGTGGGGCTGTGCCCACGTCCCCGGGGCTCCGTAAGCCCCACGCCCCGTCCCAGGGGAACCGGCCGCGGTTCCCGCTCCAGCGGGAGCACATGGAGCCCAGCCCGGCGGGAGCACGGACACCCCACCCAGGGGCTGCTGCCGCCGCTCTGGGGGACACAGAACGGGCCCGCCCCGTGAAGGGCCGGGGGACGGCGCCGTCTCTGCGGGCGGGGAGCGGGCGAGGCACCCCCGGAGCCGCCGAGAACGGGGTGGGGTAAAGAGAAGCCGAGACCCCTCGGAGCCCAGCCGCGGGGGCAGCGCGGGGAGGGGGAAAGGGACCCCGCCGGCTGCCCCGGGGCCGGGACAGCGGGGAGACCGGACCCGCCGCGGCATCTCCACAGCCGCGGCCGAGCACCAGCCGTGCCCGCGCCGGCCCACGCACCCCCTCAGCCCCCTCCCCTCTGTCCCCCGTGTCCCCCTCGCCACCGCTCCCCGCGGCGGCACGGCACGCCCGGCCCGGCCCGGCCCGGCCCCCACCACCTTTCGGCATCGCGGCGATGGCGGCGCGGCCCCCCCGGCCCGAGCGGCGCCCGGAACCGGAACCGGGACCGCCCCCGCCGCAGGTCCCCGCCGCGGGGCTGCCCCAGCGCCGCGCCGCCCCGCCGCTCTCCCGGCGGTGGCGCACGGGCAGCGGGAGCGGGCGGCTCCCCCGGGGGTCTCGGCCCGCTCGGGGCGCGGCGCGGCCGGCGGGAGCGCGGGGCTCAGGCGGCGCGCGGCAGCCCCGGGGCCGGGGCGGGGCGGCTGCGAGAGGACCCCGGTGACGGCGGCGGCGCGACGGGAGCGGTGAGCGGGACCGGG